TACTGAATGCGAGACTCCTGAAACAGCGATCGAGGATACAAGCTGCAAGCACCCAGCCATTGGAGACAGGGTGATGGTCATCAAAGGGCCTGGCCTCATCGATATCTTGACCGGCGCCAAGACCATGGAAGTTCGCCGACGCTGGCGCAAACCTGGGTTTGTATGGCTTGCGCAAGAAGGGCGTGTGCGCGGTAGCGCCACGATTGAAGGCGGGCTGCTGACAGAGGAAGAATTTCATGCTAAAGCGTCGGAGCACCAGATGCCATTGGTTGACGGCCTTCCTTTCCAAAAGAACTTTGGCATCACCTTTGCCCACGTGATGAAGCTGCCTGTTCCACTCGAATACTGGCGACCGCCGGCCAACACCCAGTGGAACATCTATCGCGCTGGTCCAGCTGACGCCCCGAGGTCGAACACGAAGACCCCGCGGAAAAAGCGGGCTGCAAACCCACAGCACAGCAAGCAAAGCCCTGTCAGCAACAGTGAGCCTCCAAAAGCCTGCAAGAAGCAAGCACTGCTGCCGCAGATGCTTTGTGCCATGCCCAATCTGGAAGGCCGTGCTGATACCGTCAACCCTTCTCCAGATGGCACAACGCCGGCTGAGCAGACGGAGCCATGAGGCTTCACAAGTGCAACTTCCAGGTTGTTGAGCAAGCCCGCGTTGAAGCACGCAACTCAGAGCACAGGCGTCTTCAACAACGCGCGGCTGCCAAGCGAAGAGAAAAAATGCGCGAAGTCAGCCATAGGCGGAAGGGAGAAGAGAAGAGAAGAGGGCCAGAAGAAAGAAACAAAGTAGAATAAGGATTTAGAGGATAGCCTTAAAACTTATCTGATGACTGGTGAGCAAGCCAAGTTAGACCATGCCTTCTCTCACGCTGTTTTGTCACAGCCAAGCCATAGAAGAAGAACTCCCGTTGCTTAGACCGAGCTAGCCATGGCAACGCGCCCAGATTGGTTGCTCTGCAGCGATCCTGCTCTTCTTCTGATTTGGCGCTTCTTGGATGTTCCTACGCAAGCCCTTTGCTGCAGAGTTGCGCATTGCTTCGCGCCTCCAGAACTGGTGACCATGCTTTGCGACACCGTTCAAGATGCAGCCGAGGCGTTTGCTTGCCCAGATTGCTTTTTGCACGAGACTCCTGATCCAAAATGGCCGACAGCATTGCAGATTGCACGGCTGCTGAACCGCTTGTGGCTTCTAGTGGCGGAGCCAGTGCTTGACCTCACTTGCCACCCGACGATCTGTCCTGGGCTCTATGAGCCAAGATGCGTTCGCGTCTTCATTCTCGGCTGGAACGGAATGCATCGACTTTCACGGGAAGGTTGGGAAGGATTTCTACGGGACCAAGATCGCCCTGAGATACATCGGGAAAGCCTTGACTCCCTCCTCTCCTTCAGCAACCTTCTAACCGACGTGCCTGATGCAATCACGGCTATCAACACACCTGACTTCACGATCGAGCTCGCCATGGCCATCATCAAGGCTGGCAACCCATCTTTTCACATGTTTCCCGCGACCTGGGAATGGCAAGATGAAGCACGCATGCTCCCGGGTGAAGCAATTTTACAGTTCCAAACTTTTGGAATCGTAGGGGTCATTTACTTTGAGGATAATGATTATTTCTGACCAAATGCCATGCCAAGCACGCGCCCGCGAAAGCACAGTCAGCAGGGCACGGGCTGAGGCATCATTATGGTCACTTGCCCGGATCATCGGACAGAGCGCTTGCTGCAGAAAAGAACTTGGCGCACTCAGCACTCGAGCGTAGATAGCATTTTGGATTTGCGTGCTTGATCTGTAAAGTTTGGAGTTCAGGTTCCATACATCATAGACTCATCAAGAGCTTGAATTCTGTGGCCAGCCGAGCAGTGACAATGCGCTTGTATATCCAGTAGGTTAATCAAAACATAAAGTGAACTCATTAAGATATCCGGGTGCAACCTTTCATCTCAAAACCAGCAGGCGCCACAAACGATGGCAGGCGTCAGACCTTCAACTTGCTGCTCAGACATAGATCAAGACGAAGGAGACGAGCTATGGCCACAACCTCCGGCAATGCAGCTGCCGCCTCTGCTACCTGGTGAACCGCCTCCATTTCATCGACTGCACCTGCGACAGCAGCAGCGGCGGCCATATCCGCTGCCTAGCCCCTTTTCTCCCACGCTAGCTTGGGCTTTGTTCACGACGTGGGCACACAACCCAAACCGACAACGGGACATGCCCGGACACGTGCTGCAACTTTTGGAATTCTACATGTGGCTCGTAATCTTCGGCAAAGATTCCCCTGCAAAGTTTTTAACGGCGGTGCAACAGTTGCTGCGCCGAACCCTCCCACCCGCGACAACGGCTCCAACTTGGGTCCGCGACGCGGTGTACAGACACGATTTTGTATGAATGAGACACAACAAAGTTGCATATACTGTACAGAACACCTGCCCTTGACGGCATTAGCAAAAACATTGCAGCCGTAACAAACCAGGCGCAGGTCGCCCAAAGACCAAGTGATAAACATCACGCTTGCATGAAGAAAAGGGGGTGTTGCACATGCTGCACAAAGAAAATGAGGACGGCATAAACACACACACACTTCTATTACACGCAGTATCTATCCATCAATGCACGAATCTATGTATTTATCTATCTCTCTCTGTCAACATATCTATCTATCCGTTCATCCATCCATCCATTTATCGATCATACTGCGCTTGTAACAAGCACGTCATTGGATGATTTCAGTGGTGCAATGTGCCGCCGCCTACCCAAGATCAAAAAGGAACGATTTTGCAGATTGCTTCTTCGAGCGTTCTAGCCATCGGCCATGGCATCGATGTTAGGTTCATCTTCTTTGAACATCAAGGCGCCTGACACGCTTCGATTAGTTGTGTTTTTTGTTTCCACGGCTTGAACATAAATATGTTCAAAACACGAACCAACCCATTGTCATTAACCACATACGTCTCTACAGTCTACAGATATATATATATATTCACATACATATACGCATCCAAAAACTAGTGTCTATCTATCTACTGTATCTGTCTATATATCTGCAAATATACGTCTAGAGCAAAACTATCGAAGCCACCCCCTGGAAGGCGCTAGGCGTCATTGCAATTCGCCCCAGTGGCAACTGCCTGTTTGAAGCATTGGCCATCTACGAAGGCATTCCAGGGGCTGCTCTGCGAAGAGAGATGGCAACGTTCCTCGCCAGCATTGCCCAGCACCAGCACAATCACGCGGAGCAGCATATGCTTTTTCAGGGCGCCCACAAGTTGCACGGTCCTCCAGCTTTGTATTGGGGCGGTGGCAGGGACATTCTCACCTACTCTATTATGCGCAACCGCAGAGTCCTCGTCCACTGCAAACAATGGGATGGCGCCTGTGCCTTACAAGATACAACTCATTCTCAAGTGCCTGCCGACGCGCCCGTCACGCACCTGCTCTACCACGGCGGAGGTCACTACGAAGCACTAGTGGAGATTGAAGCTTGTCACGATCTGACACGCCTCACTCCAGCATGGGACCAGCCGCTGTGCTTCAGACAGCGAGGGGCATTGAGATACCAATTCCTTTATGCGCTGGACTGGACGAGCTGGCAAGAGTGGGCCTCCCAACCAGAAAGGACCAGCGACATACCCTTCTATGCAATGTATGCCCTCAGGTTGTACGTTTCGCTCATCATGTCCGGCGAGTGCCCTACATCCTTTCTCAGCCAGTTGCAAGACCTCTTGCAAGAAACGCTGCCTACAGACCCTGGTTTGCCCGAATGGGTTATGCACATGGTTTACTTGCACGAGTATGCCTAGTCGGAGAGTGGGCCTGGCTACGGGCATCGCCCAATACGCAAGAAAGGGCGACAACGCATTGCGCATCCAATCGATAGAAGTTGAAAGAAAAGAAGCGGAGGGCAAGCGAAGAAGCAGAAACACACCAACACTTTGTGCGATAACAGTACCTCTACCAACCACCAAACTGAAAAGGTCACCATGACTCCACCGGCTTGACTCGACTTCATGCCATAGGGCGCTCGTGCATAATCTATACACCTCGCCCTGCAGCCATTTCAGCTTGCAACCCTGCCTTTCGACCACATTGTCCTCTGCCGCGTTGCACCCTTCTGGCGTGGAAAAGGCGTGCGCTGACGAAGGCTTGATCAAGATGACACCGCTGCTGGAACTTCTGCTCTTACTTCTACAGCTCACCAAGGAGCTCCAGCAATTTGGCATCGATCTTCTTGAGCAAGAAACAACCCAAACACCAGAACAAGCCCACCAAGTTCATGACAGCTTTGATTTGCTAGTCCAGGGCGCGCTGACATTATTCCAAGAACTGGGGGCCTTGCTTGCAGATGCAGAGTCTAAGTTGCTTCCAAGACGCAGCGTCGTCAAAGAATGGCTGGACGGAAAAACAAGCGAGACAACCCCAAAACATCAAAAGAGGCTTCAGGCAATTGATCGAGTGGAGAAGCAGATGCAGAGTCGCCACCTGCGTGCAAGAGGTCAGCGCTGCGAGATTGAAGCCCCTATACCAAGACATGGCGAGCCCAAGCGAAGCTGGGAAAGCCGAGTCTTCTTTTACAAGCGTGCCATCCTAAATTCATGCGGGGCCGTGCAGAAAGACCTATGAGGTCCAAGAAAGAGGAGCGCTTGGCAAGTTTAAAAAAGCAGGAGCCTCTCCGCCCCACTGAAATCATATAGATATATATGTCTATATATATATAGCTGTATAATATTACAGATTTAGATGTGTGCAGTATAGCTGCCAAGGATGTGAGCCTCAGGCAATACAGACAGGGCAGTCTAGTTGTAGCCGACGTTTCGTGGCTATCTTGTTTCAGTTGATCTTACATGGGCAGAAAAACTTCCAGAGCAAAGCATGCTCAAAGCACCAAGAGTTTCACAGCGTTGTCACACTAATGCAAACTGAGTGCCGACCGCCAGTTTTGCAAGTCAAGCCTTCGACCGCTCCCTACTTTTGCCACCAGCCTTCTTCGCAGCGCTCCATGTCGGTCTTCGCTGTGCCCATCCCGGACGAGGCGAAGCGTGATGCAATGAGTGCCCAGCAGAAGCAGAAAGCACAGAAAGTCAAGCAATCAGTAGAAAACAAGTGTATATAATATATATGTCTGTGTCTAGTAAGAATGGACCAAAAACGTCTACCACCTTGTTTCTTCTCCTCGTTTTCAACCGTATGATAATATCAAATGCCCCTTTTGGAGCAGGCCTTCCTCGTGCTCAAGATGCCCCCCTGATGGCGATTGCCTCTTTCACGCGCTGGCCATTCACGAAGACGGCGACGGCGCAGAACTGAGGAAGGAAGTGTCCGACTACCTCGAGAACACCGCGGAGGAAGAAGCCGACATGCAGGCTTGCCAGGCTTTCTACGATGAAGCCGATCATCTCCGTGGCCCCAAAGAGTCGAACTGGGGAGGACACACGAGCTTGGTGGCATACACCAAGATGCGCGGCCGCAAAGTGTATGTCCACACGCTGCAGGCAGATGGGAGTTGCCATGTACAGGATGCGACCCATGCCACCGTGCCAGGAGACTCAATTGCCACCCACGTGCTCTACAACGGTACCACCCACTACGACGCATTGCTTCATCTCGAGGAAGCTTCGCACACAAACGTTGAGCCGGCGTGGGCAAACCAAAGCCTGCCAGCCAAGTATTTCCAACAGAGGGAAATCACTACCACGCCGGCTTCCACAGCAGCAACGGCACCAGTACCCGAGCCACCAAACAAGAAAGCACGCGCGGCTTCCATAGCAGCAGCGCCTCCAGTACCCGAGCCACCAAAGAAGAAAGCGCGTGTTGCTTCCACAACAGCAACGCCTCCAGCACCGCAGCCACCAAAGAAGAAAGCTCGCGTGGCAAACCCCGCAGATAGCCAAAATACAAACGACGCAGATCCCAGCGAAACCCAGCAAGAACACAGGCGGTACTACCGCAAAACAACACCCCCGCCAGAGCTCCGCGACAGCATCATGGACGAGATCAGCAACGCAAAGGTGGGCCACATCTCCGAAACGGAAGCCAGGCACATGGAAAGCTTACTAGAGGACAGAACGCAGCAGTTGATGGCTCTTGCTATGCATTGAAATGTAACATCTGGATGCAATGAAACACCTTCAAGTTAACGCCGATTGGATGAAAGCATTTTTAAGGATCTTGTAACTCTTTGTACTCTTGTTTGCCTGACGCTTTCACGATGAAATGCTGACAAAACAAGCCAGACAAATATTGACAGGAGCTATCGCGCAAACGCCTGAGGGAAAATCCAACTGTGCCGCCAAGCTCAACACTAGACGCGGCAGATGATGGAGAGCGATGGCCTGAAGTCTTCTGTGCTTTTCAAGGTTGCCACTGGGAGATGACAGGTGGGGAGGAAGCCGATCTACAACAACACCTTGCCGAACACCACGCTAGCGAGTTCCAACCTTTGCTCGAAGAGGGTGACGCTCCTGAGAGAATGATGTGCTTCTATCAAGAAGCGGTCTCTCATGCTTGTCGACGGCAAGCTCCTTTGGCAGGCTCCTCGTTGGACCGAACAGCCCTCTCTACCTTCGCAACGGCCCTTGCCAATGACAACATTGAAGCGCTCATTTGTGCCTCCTGCGCATGTGTGCACACATACGCGCAAGACAACAAGGCAGGCACCGGCATCCAGTGGGAAAAGCCGCTTGATTACAGCACTGATGACGGTGAGCACTTTCAATTTCTGGGGCAACCCGTGCAGAACGTGGCCACCCTCCTCGGGCTCGAAAACTTTTTGAAGGCCTACGACATCCTAGATAAGGTAGGCGCTGCCAAGATCAGCAACCACGAGTCCTTCGAATCCTGGAAGCTTTCAATCCCAATGCCCAGCTCTGACGATGGACAGGTGGACATTTTATGTTGCCCCGAGGCCCGGCATCATGCACCGGGATGTCCCACACACGTACAAAAACGACATATACCACACACATGTTTAGATTTTAAAGCCTTGAAGAAACAAGCCAAAACACAGACAGCCTCGCGCATCCGGTCCCCTTCCACTCATTTCCTTGCAGGACCATCGGTGCCACGCGAACCCGGAGCACGTGGACATGAAGATCCTTTGCCCAGAATGCGAAATACCGCTTTGCCAAGCATGCAAAGAGCACCTAGCATCAGGCAGCCTGCCCCCACTTTCTCTGGCCAACGACATGTTCACCGGCTACGCGCCAAAAAGGATCTATGACGAGAAGGTCACCGTCATGGAACTGATCTGCGCAAGTCCGTGCATCACGGCTTTGATTTGCATCTCCATGGAAGCCAAACATCGTCATCAAGCATCTGCGATGGACGAAGTTGCCCACATGGCCCGGCACAAATATGGAGCCAGGGGAAATGCACTCACATTCCCGCTTCCATGGGAAGACGTCCTTCGTGCCTTACAAGCCAATATGGATGAAGATGCAGATGACGCTGTAGTGCCAAGGAGCGGAGCAGAACTAGCATCTGTAGCAAGGGTCCTCCTCAAGACCAACAAGCAGGGAAGGACCACCGAAGAAGACATTAAGAACCTCATCCATCAGGCAACTGTTCGACGACAGGCGCGCATGGAAGGTAAACGCGCATATGATATCTGTGGCACGGTATTGTTCTAGCACAAGCTGACAAACATCTAAATAAACAAACTATACATATATGGTGTTATTGACACGCTGTTTAAAACCCAACCGGGCTCTCTCCCTCCCAGTGCCCACGCACAGGTAGTTGTCGACCTAATCATGGACTTGCAGCGAGCCGGGCATCCCTACTTCATTCACATCTCGGAGGCCGGTGAAAGCCAAGGCAGAAGCACTGCCGGTCGCGGGGGTGCCAGCAGAAGTCCTCACCGTCATCAATGAGCTTGATGACAGCAGCGAAAAGCTCCAGCCTCAAAAGGCAGCAGCCCCACGAGATGCCATGAAAGACTTTGAAGAAGCAGGCCGGATCTTTGCAGCCCAACGACCTCGCGCTGCAGTTCCAGAAGGTCAGAACAGCCAGGACACCACCCAGACATGCAAGGCTGCCCTGAAAGACCTCACTGATGCACTGACGACAGACACCAACTTTCCAAACGGATATGGAGAAGAAGCGGTGCCTACAGTGCCTACTTTCGAAATTCGTACCGGCAACGAGCTAGTAGACCAATTCCAACCGGCCTACTTTGCCGTGGCCTTTTGCTTTTGCTTCCAATATGCCACTGCCTACCCAGACGTCACCAACACCACGAAAGAACACCTTGCCCGCATAGAGGGCCAAATCACGGCAAGGCGAAGCGAGGAAGCGCCGCAGATTGACATTCACACCTGGGCTGCCGCAATGCAAAGACGAGTGGAAGCACAGTTTCGACGAGACTGGGTCTTCGGCTTCACCCTGTGGAACTACATCTTTCGCACTATGGTCAACACCCAGCAGAATGCGTACATGTATGCGCTACCAAACAAGGAAACAGGCGGCCGGACGCTCATGAAAAACGAGGACATCGCCAAAGGTGTCATGGAAATTCAAGACAAGCTCCACTATGGCACTTTCACGGACATCAACGGGGTTGACAAGGGCGTGAATGGCGATTTCACCAAACTCAGGCACGTGCCCAACCTCTCAGATGGAGCTCGCAAGGTTCTGAGCAACGTGGAGGCCCGCACCCGCAACATTCCGGGCACGCATGAGGTCCGAAAAACCATGCGCCATCAGACGCATGCCAACAGGGTCTGCTATGGCACCTCCATGTTCTTGACCTTCTCGCCTTCAGAGAGAGACACTGCATTGATGCTCCGGCTAGCGCGAGTGCGTGAAGAAGACCCCGCCCTCACGCACGACGCTTCCAAAACATTTCAATCCAGGAGCATGCCTCGGTTGGATATGGACTTTATCCGCTTGGATCCTGAACAACTAGCCGCGGACGCCTGGTGGCAAGCACAAAGAACATCAGCAGCGGATATATTCAATCAATTTTTGCTGACTATCACGCGCGTCGCTGAGACACATGAACGTCATACATTACATTCATAGGCTTTACATATATGTGTATACGTGCATATATATATATATATTCCTATCTATAGATTAAACAACTTGAGCGATTGGATGTAGCATTTCCATGTAGTAATAATATGTGTTGCCGCGCGTGCAGAAACATGCTGCAGATCTATATTTCGTTGCGCCTGTACAAACGTGTTCTACATTAGCGCGCAGATGGAACTAGTTCTCGAACTGACAAATCCACACCTTTTGTTGCTTAAGGAGTTGCCCAACTACGAACAGCGCCGAGCAATGCTTTCCCGAGATCCACTGGCATGCGCAGATGGCTTCCACACTTTGGTCTTGCTCACCTTGAAGCATTTGCTTGGTGTCCGCTGCTGCCCCAGGTGCCCAGACTGCAATGCCACAGACGAGCCCTGCATGAACAGCTTTGGGAGCAACGCAACTGCTCGAGGTGGAGTGTTTGGAAGGGTGGACGCAGTCTACGGCTCCATAGAATGCCAGAAGAGCGGCACATTGCACGGCCACTTTCAGATCTTCATCCAGTGCTTCCACCAGTTCACGCCCTTGAAAGAACTCATCAAGCTGCAGGCCACGGACAGGTTGGAGATGCTCAGAAGATACACGGCCTACTCTGCGCACGTCACTCGGACAGTCTACGCTGATCCAGAAGCGTGGCGCAGAGACAAAGATGAAGTGGAGGCGGAGTGGCCCGAGTACCAGAACTGTTTGCTGATGCTGTCCAGGCCAACCTACCAGCGGGACGCAAGTGCCACGCCAGCCGCTTGGAAGTTGCAATACTTACATGAAGATGTCGAGCAGCTACAGCAAAGAAAGCAGCACCATGTCCACCTGCCAGATGGCCCAAATGGTGAGCGAAGGCCGTTGGCACACTGCCGGGACCCCAAAGACCCCAACAAGTGCAAGAGCGGGTTCCCTCGCAACAAGTGGCTCACCGAAGAAGCTCTCGTCATCTGCCCCGGTCTAGCAGACAAGATGGGCATGCCATGCAAGGGCAAAAGGAGCATGGTCGGCCTGACCTGGGGCCCTTGCAACGACGAGTCCCTCAACGGACACCACCCAGCACTGCTTGCAGCGCTCCGCTGCAATGGGGACGTGCAAGTCCCGTACCGGTTCCCGATCATGCCAGAATACCACCACGCCTCCTGCCAGCAGGACTGCGACCAAACCATGCCCATCTGGTCCCTCGTCCGGGACGCGCAGATCAACCAAGCAGCCCAAACTGGATACCAGTGTGATTATCAGAACAAGCGGCTGCCCATCTGCAGGCATGAAGCCAAAGAATGGGAAAAAGGACAAAAGAATTTGCAAGCAGAGCTGCGTGACAAGAAGCCTGGCTATGTCGGGGCGCGGCTGGCAAAGCGCCTCATCACAGACTGCTACGCCCGTGGGGTATGCAGGGGCGCCGTGGAATGCACAAACCTCATCTTGCACAGCCAGCACCATGACCCGACCCGGGCCGAAGCCATCAAGACGGCGCCCGTGGCAGATATGACCTTGCAATATCCACTACATCTGATCCAATGCCTATACAACGACGAGCCGTGGCCACAAGAACCAAGGCGAAAACAAGTGGATCGCCGCAACTACTTCAGGAGACAACTTACAGATTGCCCCTTTTGGACTGCTTATGGCGCTCGTGGCTCAACGCCCTCACTGCACCGACTCTCTGCCTACGAATTCCACCGCCACTACCACTTCCAGATGGCCAAGCACCCCCGAAGCAAAGCTGGCAACGAGAAAGCCCAGCAGAGCACGGATGAATACCAAGCCCAACTCACCGAAGCGGGTCTCGAGAAAGTGGAGCGCCTCGGCAAGACGCCCACCTTGAGCCCAGGCATCGACTACCAGATCATTGAACAAGGCGGTGACTGGTGGATCCCCTTGGGCACCGGAGAAAAGGCCCAAACCCACCGGCACGACTGGGTGATCGTGCCCCGTCGCCGCCCTCATGTCCCTGTGGTCTATGGAGCGCAAGGTGGCAAGACGGAAGAAG